ACAGAAATCGCGATCAACACGCTAAGACATTCTTACACCCTATTAACACAACAAAGAAGGCGGTGTCGCTAACGCCTGATCACCACGTGGGCCCACCGCAGACAACCTGCGGTGCCGTCCACGGCAGACTCATTGCGAGAGGCAACCGTCTATGCTACCGCCCCACGCCAAAAGAGACTCGCTCAACCCCCACATTCCCCCAACGTTAATTCAAACCATATTCCGAAAAACGAAGAAATCAGCTGCACAAGCTCTAACGAAAAATTGACAACACTTGACCCAATGCTGCACTGTCCAACTCGACGACTTCATCTCAGTACCGGTCCCGCAACAACAACATTGTCGTCGGCGCGATGATCCGTCACTCGCGCCGACACGTTTTCTCATTGCAACCAGCACTCACGAGGGCGCAGCACTGCAGGCAATTGTGCAGGTCTCATGCATCTTGTTCGCCCGACCGCATTTCTGGCCAGCAGCGATGAGGACGTGCAGAAGACAGCCAGCCGCGGATTACATCACTCCCACTGCGTACATTCCAAGACACCCGACAGAAACAATGGAGCAGTGCCTAGTGAAGGGAGCTTCGGGCTTTTCGCCTACGTGGTACGATGGTCAGTACTGCTAGCTAATACAGCGGTGGCAACCGAGACGCCCAGCTCAAAAATAAAACATGTGGGGTGCTGACACCCCCTCCAAAGTTGTTTGCGCCGCGTGGCGGACGTGTCTCGCCCAGAACCCGCATTTCGGGTTACAACCATCGGGCGATAGATAACGTGTTCACATTGAGCACCACTATCATCATCATGGTGTAGAGCCGACGGTGACCCCTGGCGGAAAGCAGGCCTTGGTGGCAAGGGAGAGTTTAGCGAGTCTCTTCGGCGCGTGGCGGTTGCCGCGAATGGTTGTCTCTAGCGTGGGTCCTCGGTGCGTGGTACCGCGGCCCGTGCGCCGGGGGCCCTTGTGGTAAGTCAAGCGTTGGCGACGCCGCCTTGGGTGTGTTATTGGGTTTGTCGTGTTATTGTGTTTCTCATGTTTTGGAGTGTATGGAAATTGTGGGTGAGGCTGTCCTAGTGGGTTGATCACGATTTATGTATCATTCGGCGGACGCGAACCCGCAACAATATCATTGTCTAAATTAGTTAACTAAACGTGTGTTGTTTGGTTTGTACCGGCCGTGTCTACTGTGTCCGTTCACTCCAAGAGCGCACTCCAAGAGCGTGGCAGAAGCCTCGCTCGCCATTTTCAGACCCCACAAACAAAAATCACTTTTCATAACTCGTGCATCGCAAGATAAAAAAAAGTGAGGGAAGCAGAGTGCAACACCTCAATGCCAGGATCCACCTAATTGTGCCACGTGCGACAGGCGGCTGCGCAGAGCCTTAGGCCGAATGAGTCGGTCGACAATAACCGGCATCCACCCAACACCCATCCTAAATGCAGAAGAGATAGCCATGAGGAGACATCCACTCTGTAAAGTGGCCCTATCGCTCGCCGCACACAGCAGCTTATCGAGCCATCGGCGTCCGCCATCCTGGACCGCAGTACTAGACAGCAACGACGCCTGGCTCCCTGAGTCCAAAATAGATAGAAGCTATTTACAAAAAATCGGACCACTTTTATCACCTCAGGATGCAGACCGCATGGCTCTCATCCAAACTGAACAACATTCTTGAAAACAAACAATAACAAAAAAAGCACTCTCGAGCAGAAAAAAAAAACAAAAAACAACGTGCCGACAAATTTAAACACGTCACAACAACTGATCTCCTCGCTCTCAACAAAGCACACCGCTAATGCTGAAAAGAAGTCTCCCTAGGTCTACTCTTCCCCGGCTCTAACAAAAGCTTGTACCGAACTGTGAAAACTGTCGTTCGATGCTCCAAGAGCCTCACGTTGGTGTTGTGAGTGAAGTGCGCGAGTGAAGCGTTTTTCGAATTTGGCGCGGCAAGATAGACTACTGACAATGTGTTACCAGCGCCAGTGCGGCGAACGCTGGCAATCGAAAAAGAAGAAAAGCCTCAAGAAAATCGCAGAAAAGAATCCAGAGCCACGGCATTGAAGGAGGAGGAAGAATCGTGGTGGTGCTAGGAAGAACAAGGCTGGGGGTGCGTCGTGCGAGCTCATCGGGTTCAGATACCGAGGCGTAAAGGCAAGGCATCCACCTAGCCGGCGATGACAATCACGGAGTCCTGGTGACCATTCAAGCACCACCGAGGCTATTGGCTAGTTCCTGGCACGGCCTGGTTCTGGTGTTCGAGCTGAGGACAGCGCCGCAGATGACGTCGTCTACCGGGAGCAGGAGTGAGCCATCGGGCTACGGGCCCGAGCTCATGCACTCCCACCACGGCAGCTTCACCGCTGAACTGTTGAAGAACCTGAACCGCTGGTGAGCTGTATCTATCTCCTTATACTTCTGGACTCTAACCCAAGAACTCGAGAGACTGTTTAGACTCGTCAAGGTTTTCCCTCGTTAACAAGAACTGCCGGTGCTTCTTAGTTCACCTTTTGCTGAACTTAGCATTCCTATTTATGTGTTTTTTTGTTTTTGTGAAAATATGTTTTTTTTTGCTTTTTTTTTCAGGCAAATGAAACGCTCACTTCCTTTTATCTCCAGAGAATAACGTTTCACAGCTAGCCCGACTGGCTTTATTTACCGAACCTGTCACAGTTGGGCTCCAGTGGGGGGGTCTTTGAAATGGCGAGTGCCACGCTGTTCAAATCAAAGGACACAGTAGACATGGCCGGAATAAACCAAATGATACACACAGTAACTAATTTAGAATGACGATATCGTCAGTCAGCCGAATAATTATAACAGCAATCATTATCGACATGCTAAGACATCCTTACACAATATTAAATAACACGACAAACAAGGCGGTGTCGCTAACGCCTGACTCATCACGTGGGCCCACCTCAGACGGCCTGCGGTGCCGTCCACGGCAGACCCACTGCGAGAGAAAGTCGCCCGCGCCACCGCTCTATGCCAAAAGAGACTCGCTCAACTCTCTCACCCGCCACCATGGCTTGCCTACTGCCAGGGGTCACCGCCGGCGCTACCACTCTACCAACCATGATGATGATGGTGGTGATCACCGCTCGCGAACACAACGCTACCTATGGCTGAATAGTTGTCATCCCTAAAATACGGCTTTTGTGCGAGACAAGTGCGCCACGCAGCGCAAACAACTTCGCAGTGAGTGTCACCACCCTCCACACATGATTCGGTCTCGCCGACTTTCACAAACCGAACACGTCCGCGGCACCATCTACCACCATGCACCATCGTGAGAGCACGGGAGGAGGCAAGGGGTAGCAAAGGAATGGTATGGCAAAAAAGCCCGTGCAATGACTGCAGGCAAGCCTCTGATTTATACATCTTTCATAGACGTTCTTGTTTTCTTCAATGTACGAAGTGAGGCATTTGGCGCACACAATCCGGCACACGACACCCTGAGCTTTTTTTGCAGGCACGCAGTCTTTGGGTCGAGGGATGGTGCTGGATAGCTTGTGGTTTCACCCAAACCTAAGCTTTTTGTTTGCTATGTGGATGATAACTTCTGTGTTGTGAAGTCTGGAGAGGTCAACAAGCTGGAACTCCGTTGAGCCTGACATATAGTTCACAGCGGAATGGAAGAACCATTTGGCTATTTCGTTTTTTTATGGACTGGTGAGAAGGCAAGGACCAAGTTTTTTTTCTCAGTTTTCAGGAAGTCTACTCATACTGAACGCTATCTCCACTTCAGCTCGAACCACGCCACCTGCCGTAAGCTCTCCTTGGCGCAAAGCCTTGTTAGCAGGGCTCAAAAAATCTGCTCGTCACCACAGAAGTGGAAGGAAGACAGGAAGAAAATGATGCACGTTCTCGGCACAACAGACATACAAAAGCATTTATTCACAGAGCCCTTTGTAAGAGAAAAGAGGGGGAAATGGCACATGTACATTGCCGCAACAACTCCGCTGGTCAGTGCACTACAATGCAGGGGCCAGTGACTCAATAGCCCATAATATTGACAAAAGCAGGGGTTAAAGTTGCGCACATGCTATTCACCAACATCGGCAGTTTGGTTCCTCGACCTAAAGACGGCATACCTTCAGAAAAAACTCAGGGCGTTGTGTACTGGATCACATGTGTCATCTGGCCCGCTTCCAACATTGGGGAAAGAACTGCCATAAAAGGGTTTCTTAAGGGCCAGTTGGTAGATGATACTGAGGATACATGATACTGAGTACATCATACTGTGCCGTTTTTTGCGCTGTTTCTCTCAGTTCCATGAAAGGATGTGGCAACACAAGAATGACATTTGTCAATTAAACAGAAAACGAAGCACAGTGACAGGACACTGCTAACGGTTGATCATCATATCAGTCCTGGGAACGCGGTGATTCTGAAAAGGAAAAAGAACCTTCGCCGGTTGCTACTTCTCAAACCCTGGTGTATTCAGCAGATAGCGAGAAACATCAACCGCTTCATGGGTACACATGCGAAAAGTGATTGCAAACCTCGCATGCACAGTAAGCAACCATGCTGTATTTCTCGAGCCGTTTCACCCCTGAAGAAAGAGGCTTCGCGTTTTTTATGAAGTAAATTTTGGTTGGTGTTGTCTTTTTTTTTTTTTCCAGTTTTCTATCCCAACTAGGCAGACTTCTCCCGAATGTTCACCTTTGAATGAAATATATATATATATATGAAAACATTTGCCCTGGCAGTGCCCCTCGTTACGGGACCCAAGTCGGCTCACAGAAGAAGATTAGGACTCAGCCTTACGCAGTTCAGAGTTGCTACCACAACTACGGGCTGTCCAGAGAGCCCTCGATACGGCGGTGAGGCTAGGCCTCCCCGTTCCTCCGTGGGAGCGGTCCGCGACGTTGCTCTAAAGGAACAGCGTTTCTCGGAAACCAATACAGTTCTTTGTCTGTCTGTCTGTCTGTCTATCTGTCTGTCTGTCTGTTTTTCAGAGGGTGTCCATTTAAACCTCTTGTGTTTGCGATAATTGCAGAGGGGCCTCCCAAGCTGCTGCGAAAGTACCGCCGACAGTTGCACCACTTTGAGAGTGCCCTGAGCCCTGAGTTGAATCGTGTGCCCTCAACCTTAGCTGCTGCACCTCATGGACCACACCGGTGCGACACCAGTGAGTGGCCTATCTCAACCATGTCCAGCACCTTTCTTTTTGGAGCATTTTTCTTAAGGGTTGACCCAGAAACGTAAACTTTAGCTTGTATTGTCTCCAGTAGCCGCGTGAGCATATGGAGACTATTTACTCAGAAAGATATGTCTAGCACGTGTAGCAGGGTTCACACAGCCCCTTGAAATCCTGGAATTATGGAGGGCCCTTGAAACTCCTCGAATATTCATGTACTCCTTGTAATCCTTGAAAATGCTGTGAGATTTGTTCTATGAGAGAAAAATAATGACGTATATCTGTAAGTAACACTCATTTCAAAGGCCCTTTCGTTTGTGAATGACCGTGAAAGGAAGCTGTGGTGAAAGACGTCAGGGAGTATCGGTTTTAAGTAGCACAGCGGTTACAACATCTGGCAACTAATATCGATTGAAAATAAATCGATTGAAAATGAATTGAAATGACCAAAGCGCATCGCTCGGTCAAGCTACGGTCCCTAAATCTCGGTATTCTGCCATCTCTGCATCGTCTCGAGCTAGGCCAAATCAACGGCATTATGCATGTGCGGGCAGCGCTGCAATCCATTGGAGTGGAAGCCAAGAAACCTCTGCAGGCAGAATCGATGAGGCATTGTCTTTCATTTTAAATAATATTGGGCTCTCATGTAAAAGACTCATTTCCGATTTGTTCCCACAAACGAGACGGGCAGTAAGTTGTTTCTACTTCCTTTTGTATACCACTCCTAAGTCGAGAATGCACCAGTACTGGAAGGAGCCTTGGTAGTGTGGGTGCACTTGAAGCACTACACCGAAATTGTAGGTGACCACAGGCTGCTCATGCCAAAATGTAAAGCATACGAAAACGTCAGAGCTTTTCTAAAGGACCCACTTGCACTTGCAAAACCGAACTTTTCCCTGAACATTGCAATGGTTGTGCAGCCTTTCTTGTGTATTTTTCAGTGTGATTCTCCCAAGAGCTTTTTAGCAAAACAGGTTGGAAGTTATGCTTAACAGCTTAGTTGACAGTTTCTTTCCGAGCACAAGAGGTAGTGTGTGCACAATATATTCAATTCTGCCAAAAAAAAAACTGCAAAACTATGTAAGAGGCCGTGAATGCCTTCACATTCTCTGTGCGCTAATAAAACATCACCCGTTAATCTTAATATAATGAGAAGTGCTCAAGGTCTTTCTCCTGCTTAGCCATAGACAGGCTTCAATAGAACGAGGTTTCTGTGTGAACAAGCAGATTGCAGTCGAAAACATGACAGAGCTCTCAACAAGTCATCTTTGTTGCTGTGAAAACCCACTGAACCCAACTGAAGTCGTCAGTGTGCCAAGCCAAGCCTAGATATGCATTACACATGGAAGAACAGAAGAAGCAAGCAGCGGCACAGCAGGTAACCCTGAAACAAGTGTGGAAGTGCTGTGCCATTTGTGCCGTCTTGTGCCAATTTGACGTGCTAAGCCTAAACGGCAATTTGCGTGTGCAATGTCAAATTTAGTCGAGTTTTTTCATCGACCGAGCAACACGCGTGTGCTACACTAAGGACGCAGCCGCGGCCATATCAAATTAGTTCGGTCACGTCTATTGGTTCTGTTTCACTAGTCACGTCGTATTTCGGTTGATGCATGAATCTTGTTAAGGCGGCGTTGGTGTGCATACCTCATTATGTGACTTTGTGTATGTCAAATCTGCTAGCCAAATCATATAAACTGAAAAAAATAAATAAAAATCAGTCTCACTAATGAAGCGATGACTGCAGTAACAACAATTTGTAATGTCGCACGCGCTCCTTTCTATTTTCGCTACCACATTATTGTGCCTGTAATGCTGCCTTGCGCAAACCAGGTTTGAATGACTTAGAACAATCTAGGATAATTTCAGAACCTTCCGATGAGATTACGCGTACATTTAAGTTCTGGAACTTACGCAGCCATTAGTGGTAATGCTGGAATCTTTGATGGCACATGTATAAATGCGGACGCACTCCGCCGCCTGGCTGATTGTCGACGGCCGACGCTCTGGTTTGCTTTTATTATCAGTCTACACTGTGTATTGCTCGTAGAGTGACGTTTCGTTTTCCGGGCACAAGTTCGCCCAAATGTAAAGTTCACTCGTGAAAACAGTGGCTGCTGCCGTCGTCAAGATCACGACCGCGTGACAATACGAAGGCTGAAAGCTAATTCTTTTGGATCCGGCATAGCGACACTCTACAAAACGCTGGTGTGAGAGAATAAAGATGGCTACTCCAGGTAGAAATGCTCTTATCTCACAATCTCTTCCAGTTGAGAGATCACCACGTATAAGGGTTTACGAGCCGCGTGCTGATGCTTGCGGATAGCGCGCGCGCCAGCTTATCGCAACCATGCCTTAGAATCAAAGTTCACTGCTGCTGCCCGAGCCCCTTCCCTCCCCATTCCCCCAAGTTTTTTTTCATGCTCGTTCGAGACGGGTGGCGTGTTTTATTTCTGCTTTGGCATTCGACGGCAGGTGTAACACGCGGTGGAATACAATCGCGTGCGCCGCCCTCCGAGTGAGCAACGGAGATCGGCTGCCTCATTGAATCTCTGATTGAGCAGCGCTCACCATCCCAGCTTGTGCAATCTTACACGCGGGTAGAATGTACAATGCGCGGGGAATGTTACTAACTTGTCGTTTACATGGAGCATGGCGGCGATGGCAAAAGCTTTCGAGTGTCCATATAGTTCATATCGTAATTAAAAAAATCACTTAATTGCATGGTGTGGCAAGCACATCTAAATATTTTCGCGGTTCTCATGTTGGCTGTAGCACTTCAATGACCGCAACATAAAATCTTTACACTCATTTTTATAAAGCCCTATTGGTTTAGTATGAAAATAGCAGATGAACTGGCGCTCTTTGGCCGTGACATGGCCCTTGCGCCACAAAACATCAAACTTCATCAGTATGAAAATAGCTTTTATTAGTTCATCTCTAGTCTAGTTGACTTTCTGCTCTTGTTGGATGCTGTGTTTTATGCACATCTTGGAAACATTGCCACATTTTGACAGCATTTTTTTTTTCATTCGCCTTAGGTCTGGTAGCTGTCCAGAGTGCTGCTTATGTTTTTTTTTTCTTTGAGTTGCTTTGCTTTCAGCTGTCATGTGTTAATTTTTAATATATTTATCAATTTGGGGTACGTCTGGTCACTTGATAAGCATTAAATGCTTAGTAAAAACCACTGAAATTTTTTCGTTTTATGAGAAAGCCGAAATTCTAATTAACAGTGATGTGTGACCCGAGAAATCTACTCCAAAACTTGATTCTCATGCTCCAAAATACAGCTTTTGGTGCTCCAGAGCTGCTCCAAAACTCCCCTTTTACTGCTCTAAATCTGCTCCAAAACCATAATATTCCTGCTTCCAAAGCTGCTCCAAAAGACTGAAGCCCACTTCCACCTCTGTTGAAAAGAACTCCAGCTAAAGAGAACGCAGGAGTTGAAGTGCTGGGGCGATCGCACCATATTGCGCCAATCTTGCCTGCAACGCAAATTTAGTCAAGAGTTTTATCATTGATTGAGCAGTACGCGTGAGCTACTCAAAGGACACGCCCATATAAAATTCCGCGTCCAGATCAAACGTCGTATTTCGGATCATGCATGAATCTTTCGCAATGTGAACACAATCCATGATTCTTTTTAAAGTGACGTTTGTGGTGTGAATATCTCATTATGCTACTCTCTATATTGTCACGTTACAACGTAACTGTAACCTGTAGATAATGGCACACAAGGACGTCAAACCGATTCGAACAACGGCAATACGACTTTATCGTTTTTCCCTGCACGCACATCTTCGTTCTCTTCTGAACAGCGGCACATACAAGCCTGCTAGCATCTATAAAAATAATACTTTCAGAACTTGTACTAGTGGCATTACCCCCCTTCCCAAAGAACATCGTCCCGATGTCACAACATAATTACCAGATGAAAAGAAAAGACATACGATAAGCAGTACACAAGGGGGTGTTCACAATCACTGTAAGTCTACTCAAGGAAGTTTGATGAATAGTCAGCGTTGGTAATATGGTTTCATTCTCGAAACATGGACGACGTGTGGCTGTTGTGAACGGCGGGATTCACAAGCCATGTCCTCGTCAAGAACCTCGTAGTTTACTTCGCTGAGATGGCGGAGAACTCTACAGGGACCAAAATAGCGGCGTAACAACTTTTCCGACCGGCCCCGTTGTCGAATGGGAGTCCACAACCATACTCGTTCTCTGGGTTGGTAAGAGACATCGCGACGACGAGCGTTGTACCGCTAAAAGTCGATGCATTGTTGCTTGTGTATGTTTTCGACTGCAAGCTTACGAGCTGCGTCTGCCAGTCTGATAAATTCATTCGTCTTGACACTAATCTGGCGTCTGTCTTGTAGAAGCATGGCATCCAGCATTATAGTGACCTCCCTGCCGTGAAGCAACCGGAATAGTGTGAATCCAGTTGTTTCTTGCACAGCGGTGTTGTAAGTGAACGTGACGTAAGGGAGGATGTCATCCCAGTTTTTGTGGTCTTGGTCAACGTACATAGATAGCATGTCGGCGATCGTCTTGTTTAGTCGCTCTGTAAGGCCGTTGCTTTGTGGGTGGTATGCAATAGTTTTTCAATGTACTGTGCCGCTAAGCTGCATGGCGTCTTGTATCATCCGGGCGGTAAAAGCTGTGCCACGATCAGTTATGACAACTGCTGGTGCTCCATGTCGGAGGACGATGTTCTTCATAAGAAAGTGGGCAGTCTCAATGGCGGTGCCACGTTGTAATGCCTTCGTCTCGCAGTAGCGCGTCATGTAATCAGTAGCGAGTACAATCCAGCGGTTGCCGTCACCAGACTTGGGAAAAGGTCCGAGTAGATCCATGCCAATTTCTTGGAATGGTTGTGTCGGAGGAGTGATAGGCTTCAAAAAGACGGTGGGGCGCTGATGTGGTGCTTTACGGCGCTGGCACTCGTGACACGTCTTCACGTAATGCTTCACGTCTCGATTGAGCTTAGGTCA